CTACATTCATACAACATAATTTTTGATCAAAGGCAACAACCAACAACTGTTTGCATTTTCAATACAATGCAAAAAAGAAAACAAAAAAAATGCTTAAATTTAAAGTATATGTATAGGTGCGTATAAAATTTTATGTGTCAGCCATATTTGCATGCATAATGTGTTCAGTATAAACTTAAAATTGAAACAAAATTATAGTATATATTACATATGCTCGATTTCGCACATTTGGATTGGCAGCGTCAGAAACGTTTGGTTTCTTTTAAGCTGTAATCCCCATTACCTATTGCGTAGATGTATCCAATTGAATACCCTTTTGCAGATACACCTTACTTTGGCCGTGGTTTATTCCATATTGCCGCTCTTCATGCGTACGTACATGCCTACGTGTCTCAGGACTGGCTTTGCCATTTGGTAGTAGTCTACTCGCGACTTACGCTTTGCGTTCGCCGCATTTTTACTTGTTGCTATCACGGTCTCGGCCACTGTTAGCTGCATTTGAGTACGAGGGGTTTGCATTACCACCAGCAGCCGAAGACGTGGGCTGCGGTGGCATTGTGTCGCAACGCCTATAGTACAATAAATAAGGCACGCGCGGTGTTTTCGGATAGAGAACTTCGTTCTCGCTGACCGGTTTCACTGAGCTGTCATTAAAACGCAGCCAGCTGCTGTAGCCCGTGTGATAAACATCGGTGATGTAATGTCCTTTTGTTGCTTCTTTGCCGTCGTGATAGACCACGGCGAACAGGCGGTAGGCGCGCTGCTTCATTGAATATTTTTTGGATGCAAGAATTTCTACAATGCCGAAGAAAATTTAAAAATACACATGCGTTAGAATAACTCTTGAATCAGTGAAATTAAAAGTTAAAAAACGAAATTATGTACGTACTTGCGTCGATTTTCAAATCGACTGGGAACTCGACTTTCTTCAGTATCTTGGTGCAGCCATCCGAGCGGTAATCGAACCATTTCAAGTGCAAAATTAAAATCGTTGGTAGCTTTTCCAGTGTCATTTGTTGCCAAGCCACAACTTCTTGTTTTGTCTTGCTGCCAGTTACACCCTCCAACTGATCACGGCCGACCAATATTTCGAGTGCTTCCTTCACTGAAGCGGCTTTCTATAAATAAAC